ATATATATATATATATATATATATATATATATATATATATATATATATATATATATATATATATATATATTATATAACTGTTAATAAAAAAACCATTAAACAGCAGCCAATCGTGTGATGAAATATATTTCTCTAATTTGCTTATTTTATGATTATATGCGAATATATTATTGTTTGTATTTAGATTACAGATTTCAAGAATATTTATTTATAAACTACAAATAATTTTTTATTTTCGGCAACTCACAATTTATCTTGGTAATAATTTATTTTTTTATTATGCTATATGTTATTACTTTTGCTTTAATACTATAAAATAAAATATTATATGTTCTAATTAAATCATAGGCCTTGTTTTTAAAGAAAGAAATGTAAAGGAAAACTATAACGCTTCACCTTTGTTTATTTTAAAGTCTATATGATTATATGGTCTTAATCATTTTTATTTTTTATAAGTATTATGCGTTGTTAGTTTTTTTATATCATATAAAACAATGAAAGAAGGTTTCCAAAAATTTATAATTATCTTTCGTTAGTTTTTCACGATATAATTATTGGTTTGAAAAAAGTAAAAAGTAGCGCCACTAAGAGAAGAGAAAAAGCAGCAGCCAGGGAGGAAATCACAAAGTACCCCAAATTAACACATTTTTTGAAACCAGCAATTCAGCCTGGAAGTGTTTGGATATTAACAGAAACTACGATACCAACAGAAACTAGAGTCAGATAAATTGATATGCGAGTCTACATCAAATGGCATAACAATTCCGTCTATTTTTCTCAGTGATGATCCTTCTGAGTGGCCAGATTGCGTTTCTGACGCATAATGGTGTGACATTGTTAAACGGGGTTTCAAAAAAATGAAATTGATTTTCCATACAATTTAAAAAGAAGACGATTTTCAATAAATTATTATAATGGCAAGATGAAGAATGGAGAAATCTTTAGACGGACATGGCTCATATATTCTTTGCAATAGCAATAAAGTGTTTTATTTTGTTGCAAACTTTTTGGAATAACCTCTTCACCATTCCGGCAAGGAATGAACACTAGGGAAGGCTTACCAAAAAAACTTAAAGAACACGAAACATGCAGTGCACATTTTAAGTGCTTTAAACAATGGAAGACTTTACGAAAATGAATAACTTTTTGCACAAAGAACAAATGAGCATTATTCTGCGATCAGTAGAAATACATTTACTCCTGGAGAAATTTTCAGGAGTAGTAACATCTACTCCTGAAAGCTTCTTTGGATATCTTACAGGAAATGAAAACACTGGAAAAGGGCTTTTTGATGTATTTTTAATTCAGGCAAAAGATAGGGATTTAAATATTTTAGACTGTCGAGGTCAATCTGATGATAATGGTGCTAATATGAAAGGAAAAAGGTAGAAGGTGTTCAAGCAAAGTTTCTGGAAATGAATCTTAAGGCCTTAATCCTATGTTCCTTGTGAAGAATCCTATGTTCCTTGTGCAAACCATTCACTCAATCTTGTTATTGTTGTTGGTGCACTGTCATTGCAATTTCTTTTTTTAGTGTTCTTTCAAGGTTATATACACTCTTTTCATCGTCTCCTCCTCGATAGGAAATTTTAAAATCCTGCACTGCAATTTCTGTCAAACCAAAATCATATACCAGATGGGAAAGTAAAATAAACTGTGTTAAACCACTTCGCTACTATTTAAAAGAAATCTTAGAGGCACTTGAAAGATTGGAAGAACATGCCTTAGAAAAGAGAGATTGGGCAACAGCCACAGAAGTACGATCGCTGACAGAATATATTAGAACATGGCCTTTCTTATTATCAATCATTAATTGGTATGATGTTTTATTTCAAATCAACAAATCAAGCATGCTGCTTTAGTTTCCTGCAGTCTCTCGACATCTTAGCTTGTAAAATAAAGGCAACAAATTCATTTCTTTATGAGTCTCGTGAAAATCGATTTTCTGACGCATGTATTAAGGCGTCAGAAATCAAAGAATTATTGGGCATTGAAAGGATTTTTCCAATAGTGCATTCACAAAAAAAAAAAAAAATTAATCATAAGAGTGCGTTGATCACACTTGGCAACCTGAACATCAGTATAAAGCAGATTTTTTTTTTGCCACTAATTGATATGTCAATTGCATCAGTAAAAGAGCGTTTTGAACAGATCAGCATTGTCACAAAGCTTTTTGACTTTTTTTACCGATCCGAGAATCTTATCAAAGCTTTCCATGAAAATTCTCTGTCTGTTGCATATTGCAAAAGTTTGTTGCATACTGCTGTATATTGCAATATTGCAAATTGTTGTATATTTCAAAAGTTTGCAAATAAAGCTTAATGATATAGATTCTGAGGGTTTAGAAATAGAGTTAAAACCATTTGTCATTGTTAAAAAGGAGGAAAAAAATGCTTTTCTAAAATCTGCACATGATTTCCTAACCTACATCTACAAAAAAGAGTTGCAAAAATCTCAATCTAGTTATTGTGTTAGGAATCATTCTTACATTACCAGTCACTGTTACAAGTGCAGAACAGAGCTTCAGCAAGTTAAAACTAATTTCACAGGTTAACACAAGTCACAGCAAGTTAAAACATTTCACAGGTTAGTATAAATAATCTTGGGTAATTATACATAAATACATGTAGCTATATTTCATAGTATAGGTCAACAATGGTCGATGAACGTATGTCTTATAATAATAAATGAGTTTGCAAGCATGAAAACACGTCGCAAACCCTTTTTTTGATGATTTGCGACTTGTATTATCTTCATAATACATTTATAAAAAATATCTAATTGAATTAAAGCGTTAATTTGATTGTTTTTAGTCTTATGAACAGCGACGTTAAAAAATGTTAAGTAGCCAGATGTTTTGAAGTAATCTGTAAATTTTATTCACTTTATAAATAATAAAAAAAAAATTTACATAAAAATTACACGAGACTTACATAAAGTTATTTTCATGAAAGACTTGAAACTGTAAACTTCTCTTGTATTTTTCAAAATCAATAGTAGATCCACGATCAATAAACACCTTGCAATTCTCTTCTACTATGAAGAAACCATCTTTTGATTTTTGATTTTTTTTATTAGATGTTACAACAGTAATTTTTTCAACTACCTCTTCTGACCAAAATTTTAATACATTTCCGATAGTTTTGTCGCTATTTAAAAGCTTTTTGATACATCTGTATCTCTTAACAAAGACAGTTAAATATGAGTTTGATCTAGAAATAGCATCCACAAGAACATGACGAAGAAAAATCTCTTCTGGACTTACAAACACAATTACAGATTCAGATTCCGCTCCTGAAAACCCTTTGCAGTCAGTTACAAGAATGTCCAGTTCACTTCTTAAATTATTATGAATTTTAAATTTTGCCTCTAATGTTGGAGAGTATTTCTGCATATGTGGTGAATATGTTACTGCTTTAAAATTTTTAATTGTATCTATTGCATATGCAACAGATTGCACTTCTTCGATATTGTTGCATATAACCACAGTTTTTCTTAATACATTAAAACAAATTTTTTCTAATACAATGGATAACAATTTAACAGATTGCTTGTCTGTTATATCATGAAAAGGTAAATACACAACCTTGGGTTTTTCTCCTTTAATTGAGTGGCCTATTTTACCAGATTTGAAAACATATTCAGTCTCCATATGACATTTTGGATCAATATTACTAATACTTTTTGTTATTAGCTTTGCCATGTAATCTAAATCATTGTCATGAAAATCATTAACAATTGTATCAATAATCTTGTTTTCTAATTTCTCTGGAGACTGATCTGATTTATAGTCTGTAAAGTTTTCAACAGTTTTGCTAGTAACAATTTTGTTAGTATTTTCAACAGTTTTGTTAGTAATTTTTGAATCTGTTGAGTCTTTAAATTTATTAACAGTTTCATCATTAGTAATATTTGATTCAAAATCTTTTTTATCTATTACAGATGCATAATTATTATCTTTATTTACCTTAATGGTGTCAATTAAGTCATAATGTGGTGTGCCATCTATTTTTTCCTTATCTTTTACATAGTTTTCTATAAAATTAGGTGTTACATTTTTAGAATTATTTCTAGAATCATATGTCGACATATGCAAACTTTGAAAATCTTTCCCTTCCTCAATCTGCTTATCTTCAACTCTAAACAAATTATTTCCTTTACCTTCTTCCAATATTTTAAAGTTAGTGTTTAGAATGTTTAAAACACTTTTTGTTTCACAAATAGTTTTTTGAGTAATATCTATTAATAGTTTATTGCATTCCGTAACTCTCATTGATTTATTTAGAGATATGACCTTCATTCCTATTATTTTTTCTTGAAAGTAATTTCTTTGTATTGTACGTTTTTGCTTATTTGCTATCATTTTTCGATTCTTTGAAATACTCTCAGGAATAAAAACGACTAAAGAATCTTTTAATATAGATGCAAACAAATGTTTAAGTTGAGCTGCATCTTCTTCTTTAACATACTCTTCAGAAAGTTCTTCAAGTACAAAACATACTTTGTTACCGTTGGTGCTCGCTAAATACTCTAGCAATTTTGGTATTGAAATGTAATTGCTTGAAGTGCTTTTGTTTTTGCACATTTTTTTCCACAACTCATATAAATTATCACAGACAACCTTAATATTTGAAGATTTCTCTAAACTGTCAACAAACTCTTTCATATGGCATTCATACAAAGAGAAATGGTTACAACATATATAAAATAGGGTCAAAGGATTTTGTGACTTATGAGAAATACATTTTTTAACAATCTCTTTTCCTACTATAGATTTACCTGAACCATATCCTCCAGTGATGATTTTTTTCAAAGCTTTGTCATTGATTGCATTTCTTTGTTCAACATTAAGAACCAATGATCGTATCTGTTTTTGAGTATCTGATTCTAATGTGGGATAGCAATGGTCAACTATAGACATTGACATCATAGTTAAACTGATGAGTTTTTTAAATAGTACTTCACTATTATTTTTTGCATTTACTTTTTTAATGCAGTAAGCTACAACTAATCTCCACCAAGTTTCAAAATTCTCATCTTCAATGTCATCTTTACATAGAAACAAAATTTTATCTAAATCAAAATCCTCTGAGAAGTGATAAAATAACTCTTCTTTTAAATGTTTACGATCATGTAAGGGTAAAACTACAACTCCCAAAATAATTAGTTTATTGGTATCAATTAGAGGATTGTTAACATTAACAAATAATATGACATCATTTAAACACTGTTCAGATTCTAGCTTGAGGCAATATATTGAAGTAGCAACACGAGCAATTATAACAAGGTTGAGTTCAGACACAAAAATTGTTAGTCTATTTTCATCATTATAATTAGTAAACTTTTCAACATTGCACTTTAAAAGAGATGCATGATAACGTAAACGGTAACCAGGTAGTACAGCACGTATACCCGTACAATTCACAGTAAATATTTCAATAAACTTGGAAGCAACTAAATTATCATTGTCAGCAATAGAAGAAGTGACATAAATAACATCATTACAATCAGAAAAATTTCTATTAAAATAATCTAATGCAATTAACTCTATTGATTTATTATTAGGTATTTTACCTAAACAAATATTGTTTGTCTCTCTCCAATCCAAAGAATTTGTTGTTCTTACATTTTGTCTAAACCCCTTGTTGGAAATTGGTTCAGGTGTTGCAACACACAACCCATTATAGATTAACTCATAGTTGCAATTACCTAGTAAAAAGTAAAATGAAATAAAATTAACATATATATTCAAAAAAATTAATTATAAAAACAATATATTTAAAACTACATTTAAAAACTGTTTATTCAAATTAGTACTAAAGTTTTCAAAATAATCATAAAAAAAAGTAAGAAAATAGGTCAAAAATATCAAAATTAACTTGAAAAAAGAAAAAACAGCCTTTGAGTTTTAATTGAAAAATAAAATGTAATTTAGATTTTAAAAATATATGATTTGAGATATTTTATTTTTAATTATAATGAACAAAATAATTATAAATTATACCTATAATATTAACTGAACAAAAATGTTGAAAAAATGTGTTTTTTAAACCTTGAAATGAAAACTTAAAATTAAGTGTTTCATTTTCAAATAATAACTTTTCTACTTTCACAAACAATGTCGTATTCTTTTTTTTTGTTAAATAATATTGAAATGCTTGCTTCTTATTATTAATAACTGTCCAATTATTAACAACACTGTATAATTGGAATTCAACTTCGCTACAAATTTCATCTTCAAGTAAGTCAAACTTAAAAACACAACCATGAGGAATTCGACATTCAATAGTGCTGAAAAAAAAAAAAATAAATAAATTAAAATTTCAAATATAAATATGTACATATATATAGTACACACAGAAACAAAATATATGTGTATACATATAAATTGCATTTCGAGTAAACTATAATATTGAATATGTTGTTAACTCCTTATTTGTGTCTGACGGATTTATCCGTCTCTGAAAGGTGTAGCTCACTATGTGTCTAACGGATATCTCCATCTAATGAAACTGTTGTGCTATTTATATTAGACAGTTGTTTTATGAAACTGTTGTGCTATTTATATTTGATGGTTATTTCGGCATTCTGGAACTGTTGTACTATTTTTGTGTGATGGATTACTATTTTTCCGTTTCACAGATAAGCTAAACAAAAGATCAGATTTTATACGTTTGATGTTACTTTGTTCAACAATTTTATTTGGTAACTTATAACAGAAATATGGTCTAGATTTTATACTCTAAAGTATTTTTAAAATATTGCTAATAGCTTGAAATTGAGGCATGGATACTTTACAATGGATTTTTATGGCATAATTACGAAGAGTTGTAGCCCTTTGACTTAGATTTATGTTTTTATTTTTTCTCTAAACAAATATATTCAGTTTTTCCTAAATTAACAAAAGTGAATAGTTGTATGCACTTGTTAAACTTGCTAATCTTCTTTTTGTTTTTGACTCCCTTAATAAAACCTTACCTTCCTCTATTACAACCTTCTTCACTGAAACTCAATATATACATTCACACTTAACTAGAAACTTCATTTTTTTATTTTTTCTCTAAACAAATATATTCAGTTTTTCCTAAAATAAAATTGACAGTGTCTTAACCTAATTTATTTAATGTAATTTTATAATATGTATTTGTTAAATTTTATGCATATAATATAACTATAATGATATACTAAAAATATAATAATTATAATGATATACTAAAAGTATTTATAAAGTAAAATACTTTAATTGCTTCAAGAGTTTGTATTATAATCTAAATCTGCACAGTTTTTTCTGGATTTTATTATTTTAGTTTTTGATAATACTATACTAAAAATATAATAATTATAATGATATACTAAAAGTATTTATAAAGTAAAATACTCTAATTGCTTCAAGAGTTTGTATTATAATCTAAATCTGCACAGTTTTTTCTGGATTTTATTATTTCAGTTTTTAATATTGCAAGAATTAAAAAGTAAAAGTTTTGTGTATGCCGAAATATTTAAATGTAGAAATAGTTTACTGGTTGCATTTTAGACAGTTTTAATCACATTTATACTTGAGATTTCGTTTTTACGATTTTATTATCGTAAAAATATAAAAAAAGTTTTTTTTTAGATTATAATGATGTTACATGTTTAACCCTCGATTATAATATTTTTAGATGAGTAAAAAATGTCAGAAAAATGTGGGAAGAGTTTTAAATGAACATTGTAATAAAATGTCATATTGTAGAATGGTAGGAAGAATAAGACTAAAAGATACTGATAATAAAGTTTTAATGCAAAGGATTGGATATACTTTCAAATGAAATGAGGAGAAATGTTGTTACCATGAAAAATATTTCTAGATATGAAGAACTTAAAAAATACTCTTATGATTCATTTAAAGTCCACAAAAAAAATCATCAACGGATTGTGTTATCAACGGATTGTGTTATCAACGGGTTGTGTTATCAACGGGTTGTGTTATCAACGGATTGTGTTATCAACGGATTGTGTTATCAACGGATTGTGTTATCAACGGATTTGTGTTATCAACGGATTGTGTTATCAACGGGTTGTGTTATCAACGGATTGTGTTATCAACGGATTGTGTTATCAACGGATTGTGTTATCAACGGATTGTGTTATCAACGGATTGTGTTATCAACGGATTGTGTTATCAACGGATTGTGTTATCAACGGATTGTGTTATCAACGGATTGTGTTATCAACGGATTGTGTTATCAACGGATTGTGTTATCAACGGATTGTGTTATCAACGGATTGTGTTATCAACGGATTGTGTTATCAACGGATTGTGTTATCAACGGATTGTGTTATCAACGGATTGTGTTATCAACGGATTGTGTTATCAACGGATTGTGTTATCAACGGATTGTGTTATCAACGGATTGTGTTATCAACAGATTGTGTCATCAACGGATTGTGTTATCAACGGATTGTGTTATCAACGGATTGTGTTATCAACGGATTGTGTTATCAACGGATTGTGTTATCAACGGATTGTGTTATCAACGGATTGTGTTATCAACGGATTGTGTTATCAACGGATTGTGTTATGATCTGGTAAAAATTGAAAAAATCTACTGTAGCTCCAGATACTCAAGTTTTTCTGATTTTGGTCAATATTAATTCAATTATAACTTTTGAATGATTTAGTCAATCAAGCTGAAATTTTCTAAATTGTGTTTATTTTCATAAAAGCTGTGGGTGGTCAAAATTTGAAGCAAATTTAGGGTGGTGCCTTGGGGACCTTTAGGTGATTTGACATGGAATGATCAATGTACATATGATGAGTACCTGTGTTCCAAATAATATAGTCACTATTAAAAGAGCTGGTAAAGAAAAAAAACTATATATAATTGTATGATATAACAAAAGTATAAAAAAAACACGGACAGCATTGACAGATCTAATATCAGTTAATATCAGTTAATAACCTACAAATAATATCAGTTAATAACCTACAAAGTTGAAAGAAAAAGTGAAAAATTTTTATAAAAAGATTTTCATGCATATAATTAGTGTTTGTGAATTCAATGCAAATAATATAGATAACAAGTTATCATCTAATGACATCCTTATAAAGAATCAATTATTAAAGAGAGTATTGTAAAATACCATAAAACAGTGAAAAAAAATTGAAGTAGCATGTGTTACCTTCTCCTTTACAATCAATAGATTGTCAATTTATTAAAAGTATTCCAGCTACAAAGAAAATGGTCATATCTAGTAGCAGATGTGTTTTATACTCTGTGAATAAAGATCAAAGACAAGGTATATTTGAATGGACTGTAATATTAGTTTGTGTGTTACAGTTAAGGGGTTAAGTATTTGACAAAAGTTTACTAAGAATGCAGTTTAAACAATCAACTTTTATAGAATTTTAATGGACGTAAAATAACAACTTTTACAACAGCATTTAAAACAGTATATTAAGTTATTTGTTGCTTATTAATTCTTATGATATGGAGCTATTAATTAAAAGAGTACACCACCCTGAAGTACACCAGCTTAAATGCATTTCCAGTCAGTGGTGAGATCATTTGTTTTAATTTTTGGTCTCAATTCCTGGATTGTAACATAAGTATGTTACAATCCAGGAATTAAGACAGATAGATATTAACTTATAAAAAATAATATTCAATAATATTAGCAGTTAAAATAGCATAGATTATACTACATCTTGAAAAAAAATTAAGCTGTTTATTTGAAACCCATATGTGATTGGTGTGGTTAATAATGAACTTGTCAGCAATTCATTTAAAAACTGCGCATAATGCCATGTTAAGGCAATAGGATTATAATAATCAAACAAGAATTGGATAATTTAGGAATTGGTGTTTGCTAATTTCAATTGGTCAAATAGGACACTGTTTTTAATGAGACAATAAAATAAGATGCAGAATGTTAGGACAATTTAAAACGCAATCAGAATCTGCTAGCAGCAACCCTGCAGATTTGGTTTAAAATGTTATTAAGGGTAAAGGTAGGGGTAACAGGCAGATTTGAAACTCTTTGTTTCAAATCTGCCTGTTACCCTATTGTTTAAATTAAACAACCTTTTTCACTTATATGTGCTTTAATACAACCATATAAACGGGGTGGAATTGCATTTGAAGGATATATTTGACCAAATGTTTTTTTATCTGAAAAATTTTTTTAATTTAGTAAGGGTATGTTCAATAAGATTTAGAAAATACCCAAATTGCTCTTCTCTTCTTTGTATTGCTGATTTCAAATCTTAAATGGCAAACACATTATCTTAATCAAATGGATATAGTTTAAAGCTGTTAAATTTTTTAGTTTATTGATACATAGAGGTTGATTTTTAGAAATATTAACATCTATTTTCACTCTTAAATATTTGGTTAATGTTTGGCTGACAATCTGTCTTAAAAAATTAGCTCTTTCTATGTTCATCTTTTTTACATATTTAAAGCGCATTTCACAATTAATGCTATAATATCAAAAAATGGTATTTTATTTTGAGTTGGAATGTATTGAGGACCAAGACTTAAAAAGTGTTCCTGTTTCCTTGAGATTGATTTATTTGAAAGACTTGTAAAAGTTTAGTAGGTTGTATTGAAACAATATATAAAGTATTAAAATACCTCTCAATAAGATAAAATATTTAATTTTTTTTAAATAATTTTTTTAAATTAATAATTAAATAATAACTTTTTCAAATATTGAAGACAAATATGAATGATAAAAAGAATGTCAAAATAAAAACTAATAAAAAGAATGTCAAAATAAAAAGAAAATTAAAGGATTCCAAGTGATTCTATATGCTGATTACATTTCTTGAATTTGCCTTAGTTTTTTCAATCCTTCTTTTTCAATCATTTTCAGGCAATTTGAATTGTTTTGTTACAAAAAATAATTAAAAATACAGATAAAAAAAACTTTAAAAAAAAACAATAATATCATTCAAGTTTTTTACCAAAAAGACAATAAAGAATCTAACTAATACAAATAAATTAAACATATTTTTAAATGCTATTTTTTAAGTATTAATGTTACAATGTTTTTAATATATCAGTTACATTATATTATCTAATTTTATTTTTTTAGTATATACTTATTAAGTAAAGTTATCAAGTATCAAACTTTTCAATCTTTTTTTATCTATTTGGACAAATTGTTGATGAATAGATTTTTTTAATGAACTATATCAAGGGTATATATATAGTGAAAAATATTATAAGAACAATTTCAACGTTTAATTACCATTCACTGTATTACTACAAAGATACAAGATTAACTGTAATTACAAAAAATTTTATATAACTTCTTCTACCATAAAACTAACATCACATTATTAAAAATAATATGTATACATATGTAAACATAAACTTTAAACATATTTTATTACCTAATTTTTCCTTGACTTGATAAGGTATCTAAAAAATATAAAGTTAACACTTTTATCTTGAAACTATTTCGATCATAAAAATTGAAAAGTTAAAAAGTCATTTTATAATGGTCCTATATTATGATTTGTTTAATAAAAGTTCTTGAATGGTTTGCATTATTTATTTTTTATGTATTCTCTAAACATTATAATGTTTAAATATAACCATTTTTTATTTAATAATATTATAATATAAACTAAAAATTAAAGCATTTTTTATTTAATAATATATATTTCAAAATAAAATAAAATAAAATAATTGAATAATCTATTTATTGATGCTTCTTGCCCTGGTTAACCTTTTTAATGAATGATTAAAAGGTATTTAAGGATGAGTAACATTATTATGATTGTGCCAAAGCACAGAATATCTAATACCAACACACAAAAAAAAAAGTAAGGATTCGATATTTTAAAAACTTTCGAATTGTATCTGGAATCATATTTTAAATCGGATTCGATTCAAAATTTCGAAGCTTTGCAGGACCCTAATATATATATATATATATAAATATATATATATATATATATATATATATATATATATATATATATATATATATATATATATATTAGGGTTTTATGTAACCCCCAAACGACAATGATGACAGCGCACTTAACCACTTTTAATTATATGTGTTAAGTATAAAATCTTTCAAGAGCTTTTAATTATAGGTGTTATATATTAAATCAAACATATTTATAAATCTCTTATAAGCCCTACATACGCGCAAAAGGTAACAATAAATAGGTATAGAAAGGATTGGTGTGGAATAGATAAGTATAGAAATGGTAGGTTTAAAAAAGGTCTGTATTTTATGGATCCAGAAAACTGGAATATATATAGGGTTGAAAATTTCCGGAAAATTTCCGGAAATTTTCCGGGAATATTTGCTTCAAATTTCCGGAAATTTTGAATTTTTATTTTTAATTTACTACTATGTATTAAAGAAATTGCAAAGAATTAAGCATCAAATCTCTTAAAAATGAGATAACTGTCATTTTTTTTTTTGCTTAAATACATAAAAACTAAAAACCACAAGACATTTCGGAGAAAATTTAAATTTTAAGTTTATTTAAAATTTCTAAGTTGTTTAAAATCTAATTAAAAAAGAAATTTATTAAAAACATGCTACCTCTATAGGCACAACATCTTTTTTTATATATATACATCTTTCTTTAAGTATTTAATGGGGTTGGAATTTTTTTACAAAAGCTTATTAATACCTGTAATATATACACAAAAACTGCATAAAATTGAATGCTAACAAAACCAAGTTCATACTTACCGGAAAAAAGCAAATTAAAAACCGCACAATATCGCACAAATAAAACTTCACGATAAATTAAGTCATCTAGGCTTTATATGGGACACCTTTCCTAAAATCCGGGCAGTAATCCAAACTTTAATTCAATCTGGAATTCGTTTTGTTCACCCAAATTCCTTTGTCCAGTTATATAAAACTTTGGTTGTTCCACTACCTTATGGTCTAAGCTTTGTGAACATAAAAAAATATTAATGCAAAAGCTTGATATAGTTGGAAGAAACGCACTGAAGTCACTCCTTAACGTTTTAAAACATTGCATAAATTTTATTCATCTCTTATTTTTTATTGAATATGTATCAATAATTACACAACAAAACAAGCTAAACTTATTTATTTACCTGAAGAGCAATAAAATGACATTTAATATTGTAAAGTAGCAGCTGAAAAACAAAACAGCTTCAGAACCTTTTTTAGGTAGTGTCAAAGGTTTGTGCAATAGTCATGAACTAAATCTAGAGAAAATAATGCAAAGTAAAAAAAAAAATCATTGACTTAATAGATGTAATTCCTGAAACGGATCTTCAAACTCAAAAATGAGCAGTTGAAATCTGGAACTCAAAGGAACAAAAAAACAATCTTCAAGGACATTCTTGAAAAAAAAATTCCTAGATGATCATGTTTGAATGAAAATCTTGATAAAAAAAAAAAAAACTTTAAGATTTTTCATTTATCCTGAACTAAACTTTAATTTAGCTTACTTGTATAGTGGGTTTTTAACTAATAAATAAAAATAAAAAAATAATTTTATATATATATTTTATTTAAACTCCCCAACTAGACTATTATAAAAAAATAGAATGTTTTTGCAAACGTTAATGCTTAGCCATTTTCATGGAATGTGAAAGTCAATACTATCTTCACTTGAATACTCACTATCGTATTCGTTATCATCATAATCATCATCATCACCATTATCGATTGATAAGCAGCTGTGATTTTTTTGGCTTTTTTCATCAATGTTTTTTGTTTTTAAACATGAATGTTTTATCTTTTTAGAATTACGTTTAGCCAATTTATTCTGCATTTTCAAATTATAAGCAATAAATAAAAGCTTTGATGCTCTTGTATCGGTTAGGCGATTTCTTACTTTAGATTTTTGCAATGAAAACTCTTTGTTTGCACGCTCAACAGATGCAATGCTGCAGTTATAAGACAATAATATTAATGCAATTCTATTCAATAATGTTGTTGGTGCATATGCTTTCCACCAAGTGACTGGATTACAATCTTCATTAAGCTTCCAAATATAGCTGCGATTATCCTGGCTAAATATTCCACTACGAGCTTTGAAACTCATTAATTCATCCAATATTATATCAGTGGCTAGTGTTTCATTTTCAGCTGTTCTGAATACATGCTGCTCAGCTAAAAGCATTTCTGAATGATTTAACTTTTGACCAACATTTTTAAATCTTGGATCAAGTAAATTTGCTGCAAAGTGTATCGGACTTACAACAAAGTCTTCACGCTTTTTAATGCAAGTAATGATATCCTCTTTTTGATGTAAAGTCAAAAGTGTTGAGTTGTAACATATAAAATTGCGTTGTAACATATAAAATTGTGATGACCATCTTGTTACTACAGGAAGAATTAAAATAAAACTTTTATTCAAGGAGTGTAGGCTACAACGCTCAACAATACTTTTTAGACTGTGCTTACTTTTAAAAAACTTAACTAGTTGTTTATTTTGCTTCAGTGTTTCCGAAATTATTTTGTTCTTATTTGCAAGATCACAAGCTAATAAATTTAGGCCATGAGAAAAACAGCCATATGCTGACATCCAATCATATTTATTTTCTATTAATTTCCAAACTGCTACCATGTTAGCTGCATAGTCAGTGCAAAAAGCTTTTATTTTTCTTTTGTTTGATATAACATTTTTATCTTCAATAATCTCAACAATTTGATTGAATATGTATTGTCCAGTGTGGGAGTTTTCTTTTGGATGAATACTTCTGATGTATATTGGAGTTGGAGTAGCTAACATAATCTGTATATGTGAATCATTACTTATACAAGACCAACCATCTGTCATCAGAACAAAAGTTTCTGACTGGGATATTAAATCTTGTATGAATTTATTTACTTGGTTATACACTGTGTCTAAAAGATTATGACTCAGGGCATAACGATTGGGAGGTGACCAACCTGGTCACCTCCCAGAATCTTTTTTAAAAAATTAGTCCAGAATGGATTTTCCGACAATCTGAAAGGGCTGGCTGTTGCATAAATTGCTTTTGCATATTGTATATTTATTTCATCACACTCTTGTGTTGAAACTTTATCAAAAAAATATGATATTGATTTTTGATTGCTAGTATATATAAAAGTTGAACAGAAAGCCTTTTTTTCTTCTAAAATATTTGATAAAGAACATTCTTGTAAATCAGAATGTAATTGGTTATTAGCCACATTCATTGTGGAACTGGTTCCTGACTTTCTCTTAAAGATGGCATAATTGTTGTCACAGCAATCAATAAAACAATCATTTTCTATTATTAAATCTGACACACCTGCATTATTTGTTGTATTTGTGTTGAGTTCAATTAAAGATTTAACTAATAATATTCCGGTTTTTGTTTTAGGAGCAAAACTTTGTTTCATAACATCTGTTGCAAACATTTTTTTTACAGCTTTTGGAGATTTAGTACAATCTGTAACTAAATGTTTTTTAGCTCGTGTAGAGTTTTGTGTGCAAAATTTTGCATTGCAATATGTGCAAATAAATGCTGCTTTCCCATATTGACATATTTTTTTTTTAAAGTGATTATTCCAGACTTGATCTAATTCTCTAGGCATAATTGTTGCTAAAAAAATTTTTACAGTACAAAAATAAATGAGAATAATTTAAAATGTATACTTAGTTTAGAAAAGCATTTCATACCAACTGCAAATCTAATAAATAATTTATATTCAACACTAATTTATTATTATCATTATAGCTATAGTACTAATATACCTATAAAGTATTTTTGTAATGTTTTTATTGTTATTATTTCAAAAAGAGTAAAAAACTTATTTAATTATATAACATATGTAATGGCAAGTTATTTGTTGTTTCTCTTGTATCACCTATTCTTTGGTTTTGGTTGACAGCTTTATATAAATCATTAAAAAATGTCAAAAAGGAATGTTTGTGTAGCAATCATTTCAGATACTATAAAGCTATGCACCTATAATATTATAAAGTTTTAATACTACTTAAAATACTATAAAGTTATACACCAAAAAATTAATAATATTGCACTTTTACCAATTCATAATATTGTATAAAATAAATAAGTAAATAAGTTATTTACTTATTTATTTTATTTAAAAAAGCTGTTAGTATTTTAATTTATAATCATATTTTTATAATCACCATCATCATCATCATCATCATCATCATCATCATCATCATCATCATCATCATCATCATCATCATCATCATCATCATCATCATCATCATCATCATCATCATCATCATCATCATCATCATCATCATCATCATCATCATCATCATCACCACCATTGTTATAATACTTGTTGTTGTTGTAATTATTATTTTTACCATTATTACCATTAGATTTACTTTAGAACTACTTACTAATATTATTAGTGAATACCTAGATATTTATTTCTGAAATTTATTAGTTTATTTATATAAACCTTCTTTATTAAAACAGTAAAATTATGGTAAACATATAAAAATAATCAGAGAAGCCCTGAAATTTTTTTTTTTAACAAGTATTTGAAAATTTCCAAAATTTCCAAAATTTCCAGAAATTTTCCGGAAATTTTCCCGACTTCAAAATTTCCGGGAAATTTTCAACTCTAAATATATATATATATATATATATATATATATATATATATATATATATATATATATATATATATATATATATATACATATATATATATATATATATATATATATATATATATATATATATATATATATATATACATATATATATATATATATATATATATATATATATATATATATATATATATATATAATGATATATATGATATATAATGATATATACAAGTTATAGGGTCAACATTTTTTAATTTATACTGATAGTAATATCAATACTATTAACAAGTCACAAAATACATTTTTCTCAATAAAAATAATGATAATGTTAGAAAATGCAACTATAAAAATAAAGCTATGTGTCCTTTAAAAAATCAATATCTAACTAATATTATTGTATATTTAATTTTAAACCTTGCTAAAAAATTTAACAAAAATTATTAATTCTAAATTCGGTAGTTGAAAAAGATTATATTACCATATAATTTATTTCATAAAACAATCTTGTGATAAACAAACAGAATGTTACTTAACGTAACATTCTGTTTGTTACCAATAAGATAGTTGTACACATAATTTATATTCTTAAACATTTTATGTCAAAGAACTTTACACTACATTGACTTAATAAAAAGCAAAAAAATGCACTTGTTAAAATAATTCTGTTATTTAAATTTCCTTTCGCTTTCAATAATCTATGATAATATAAAATAGTATTTTTGTTTAAACAATAAACTTTTTATTTAGGAAGTATTTTATTAAACACAATTATTTGCTCAAACACTTTTCTTATGTTTTACTTAATAATAGAAAATGCAGAAAAGAATGCCTGCCCGAACAAAACCCTCAGTCCATGTAACAGCACTCCATTACAAGTCGGGCTATTTGACAGTCAATGTAGTAGCACTTCCTTGCAAGTCAGGCTATTTGTCAATCAATGTAGCAGCACTCCCTCGTGAGTCAGGCTATAAGATAGTCGATGTAGCAACACTTCCAGGGAGCAGCAGGCTTTAAGATAATCAATGTAGCAACACTTCGCGCATACTTTGAAGGTATATTTTAACAAAACAAAAACAAAAACACCATTATTTAAAAAAAAGTTCAAGTCATTATTACTGCAGTATTTTTTAAAAACAATAACATCTATTGGACATCCGCATTAATTGAATAGCTTTGACATTTCAACGACAATAAAATGTAGCTTAATTGTCGAAATAGCAAAATTGAATTCAAAAGAGACTTTTTTTTACATTAAAAGTCTCTTTCGACTACGTTATTTGAATATATATATATTTATATATATATATATATATATATATATATATATATATATATATATATATATATATATATATATATATATATATATATATACAGGGTATTAACCAGGAATAAATGTGAAACGTATCAACAAAATTGGGATATATATGTATATATATATATATATATATATATATATATATATATATATATATATATATATATATATATATACATATATATATATATATATATATATATATATATATATATATATATATATATATATATATATATATATATACACTTATAAAGCTTTTTTAGAAAAAGAAGAAAAAAAACAAAGAATGATGAATAAAACAATTGCTGCCCCATTCCAAACCCTCAGTCGATGTAGCAGCACTCCACTGCGAGTCAAGCTATGTCAGTCGATGTATGTACTGAAGCCCCCAGTAGCAGGCTATTTCAGTATGACCTCAGATTGCTTACCTTAGAATGCAATACTATTTTATATATATATATATATATATGTCCTTATAGTGTAGTTGAAAGAGACTTATAGTAAAAAAAGTCTCTTTTGACTACAATTTTTTTATCTTGTCTCTTAAGCTGCATTTTATTGTTGTCGAAATGTCAAAGCTATTAAATTAATGCAAAAGTACATTAAATTTTATTGTTTTTAAAAAAAAAAGCAATAATAATGACTAGAAAGTTTTTTTTTAATTAGTGGTGTTTTTGTTTTTGTTTCATTGAAAAATATTTTTAAAACATGGGTAAGTGTTGCTACATCGACTGTCTTATATCCTGCTGCTAAAAGGGAGTGTTGCTACATTGACTATCTTATAGCCTGACTCGCAACAGAGTGCTGCTACATCGACTGACAAATAGTCTGACTCGCAAGGGAGTGCTGCTTCATCAACTGACAAATAGCCTGACTTCCAGGAGAGTGCTGCAACATCGACTGACAAACAGCCTGACTCGCAAGGGAATGCTAATACATCGACTGACAAATAGCCTGACTCGCAAGAGAGTGCTGCTACATCGACTGAGGATTTGGTTTGGGCAGGCAGTCTATCATTTTAAAAAACAAAATTTTTTTTTTGATGTTTTTTAACATTTTCTGGTCAGGCTTATTAACGCGCTCTTATGACAACAGTTTATGGGAAAAACTTTGTGACTACCATGCAAGACATATCAATAAATAGAATGAAAAGAAAATACGATTCATGCTTAGAATTATTACCTTCAAATTTTGATTTAATTTTATACACAATATCTAAACGATCAAAAGCCGTTAATTCTTTTTTTAATTGCTCCCATAAAGGATTTCCATTTTTTTGCTTCCATTTTTTTAAAACATTATCAGCTTTCTCATAACAATTTTTGTTATCAGAGCCAATATTATCAAGATCTGAATCACTTAGACCAAGGTGTCTTCCCCATCGCAACCAATCACTTCCAATATTATAGCTTATTTCACCACAACATTTTGAAATGAATTCATCATAAGCCAATTCATTTTTAGACACTAAAAATTAGAATTTTAAACTTTAAACATGTAAAAAAAAAAGGCAAATAAATTTATAAAAACAAAAATCAAAAGAAAAATTGGTATTAATTGGTATATAAAAATGATTTTATAGGAAAGTTAAACAAATTGAGCAACAGATAGATTTATTAGATAGCATAACTGGTAAAAAGTGTGAGAAACCAAAAATTAATTGGTAGAATGTTCTGAAACAAAGAACAAAGAGAAAGGTGGTAGAGCAAAGTGGTGCTAGACAAATCTAATAGATAAAGAAGGGGAGCACCGCTGGTCAGCAGATAGAATCTGTTTACCCCTTAATATGCATTATATTCATAACATTGTATAAAACACAATAAGTTCTTTTCTGGTGTGAGTTTAGTTTTATGATTTTAATTTGAGTTTCTATTTGATATTTGTGAGTTTTCAATTTGATTTTTAAGAGTTTTGATTTTATAACATTAACTATCTGCTTGCTTGATTTTTTTTTAACTAATTCAATTGTAACAAGAAACAACTTTAAAGTTAAAATTTACTATAAACTAAGAATAGTGTTAAAGAGCAAGGAAACAGGTTTACAGAAAAATTAAAAAGTTCAAGGTTACATGAGTATAAAAAATGTAAAAATTGTAGTGAGTAGCAAAGCATTGAAGTGCAAGGAAAGTATCTAGAGAGATAAATGATTTAAGAACATGAAAGAAAAGAGAAAGAGAATAATAAAATGAGTGAGCTGAAATGAGCTGTTGGTTGGTGGGACTCAAGATAATAGCTAATTTGAGCATCGAATACGTCAGTATTTGTAAAAAAGGGAAAGAGATGTAAGTTTACAACAATGGGAGAGTGGCTCAATCTTAGTAAATAGACTAGGTCTAACTACGTTAATAATGTCTTTTTGGACGGTGTTTAAAAGGGAAAAATCATAATAAGAAAAACCAGCCTAAGTACTACGACAGTGTTCAATACAATAGGCCAGGTCTAACTACCTTAATAATGTTTTTTTGGACTGTGTTTTAAAAGGAAAAGTCATAATAAGAAAAACCAGCCTAAATATTACAACAGTGTTCAATACAGGAAGGTTTATCTTTTTTTTTTAATAAATTTTCTTAAAGTGCAATTAATATTGATAGTAGTTAAAAAGGCTTTCATAAATATTAAATAAAGCTTTAAACCGCCAGCTTGGGTTTAAAATAATAAAAAGTTACCATAAAAATATATATAAATACATAAAAAAGTTACCAAGTGTAGATCCTTCATGGGTATCTTCAGTACCTTCTTTAAGTTCTTGTTCTAATCTTACTGGAAGTGATGATACTATTTTTGATAGATCAAAACAAACAGTTTAGTAATATATAACTATAAATTAAGTTGATCAATATATAACTATGAATCAGTTTACCAATATAAAATTATAAATAAAAAAAACAATATTAAAAATAAAATTAATATATAGATATGCACTTCCAATTTAAATTCTTGGGTTCATCATTTTCGATTAAAAAAATAAATAACATATTGAAGTATTGTTTTTACATTTACAGTTTAATACATTATATACAGTTATATACAGTTTTATTTTTTAGATTTGAAACGTAGATTAAAGATCTGAAAATCATCAACAAAAAATTTTAATAACTCATTAAAAGTAAAACTTTAAAATGATTTTTTATTAAGGTGGTCCTATACTAAAAAAAATAAAAAAAATTGATTTTTCAAAAATTGCATATTCTTGAACCCTAAACATTCTACATTTCAAATATATCTAAATCATTATAGGGAGTGAACTCAAAAAGGCTCTAAATAACAAGCTTCATAGTGAAGTAAAATAATTTTCTTAGCAATGGCCTTAGCAACGGGTAGTTTATGTTAGAAAATAGATGTTGCACCATTTACTATAAGTTTTTGACATTGGTGCCAGTAACTATTTCATGTTTATTTTTCTAAATAAGCTATGATTTTTAAGTACAATTACTATGTTTACATATATTACTTATAGAAAAACTATCAGCCTCATGTTATACTTTATTTGCCTTGTGCTTACTTTTGTCATGGGAAAAATTAAATGTGATCCAAATTTAAAAAAGAAAGCAGGTGGTAACAAGATTTTCAAAAAGAAATACTTTAAAGAAATTCAATTTTTCTCAGCATTAACAATCAGCATTAATTTAAATTCTCAATCGGAAATCATTTCCTCAATTCAATCAAAAATCTTGACATTGACATTTTCAAAAAAGTTATCACATAGCAGTAAAACTAGTAATGCAAAAGTTAATGATTTAAATAAATTGCCTTCATGCTTTGTACTAATTGACACAGACATTTTAAAATCAATTGTTACTTTGATTGAGGACATTGTCCTCAATGCCATAACAATTCAATTAAAATCTCAACTGATTTATCAAAAGAAAAAGGCTTGGCTGTGTTTTCAAACATTTCTTGTGCAACATGTTCATGCAATTGGAAACAATCTTTTTATTTTAGCAAAGAGATTGAAAAGCAAGCTCCAGGCAAATCACAATTTAAAATAAAATATAGATCTGTTGTTGCAATGAGAGAGAGATAAGAAAATGTCATTCTGGTTTGGAGAAATTTTTATGGTTTAATGAACTTACCTCCTCCAATAAACATAAAAGCATTTATTGATATTCAAAATAAAATTCATATAATATACCAAAGAGTAGCTGAAGTGAAAATAAAAAATGCAGCAAATGAATTTCAACATTTTAACAACGATATCCAACACAAATGTTTTTGATATTAATGTAATATAGCTGATGTTGTTGTTTCCAGTGATGGAACTTGGCAAAAAAGGGGTCATTCCTCACCTAATGGTGTTGTTACTGTTATTGCTAGTGACTCAGGGAAATGTGATAACTTTCGAGTTCTTTCAAAGATATGCAATGCCTGTACATCATGGGAATCAAAAAGATAGCAATCTAGAACTTTATGAAAATGTTTCGGAAACCCGTGGTTGTTTAAATGATCACAAAGGTTCTGCTGGATCTATGGAAGTTTCTAATATTGTAGATTGTTTTATGAAATCTATAGACAAAAGGGGTCTTCGAAATACTCATTACATTGGAGACGGGGATTCCAAAGCACATGCTGAGGTTTTAAAAAGTGGTCACTACCCAGGTTTGATAGTTGAAAATTTACTGATAAGTTGATTAATAAACTTTAAAATTATTATGGTATTGCAGTACGGAAAAGTACTGATTCAACAGTTTACCAAATGAAAAAAGCAATTGGTTCTATTTTATTTCACTGCTAAGTTGCTTTGAGTTTAGAATTACGACACTATATGTGCCCTCGAACTAATGATTCTTGGTGTAAATATCAGTGTGATAAAATTGATAACACAAAAATTTACAAGGAAAAATCTGGAATACCAATTATTAGGGATGAAATTAAATCCATTTTTCTTGACTTTAGTGATGATAAGCTTCTTTGTAGATGTTTACATGGCAAAACTCAAAACTAAAATGAATATATTAATGCAATCATTTCGAAGCGTTGCCCTAAAGAGATTTTTGTTTGCCGTACTACTTTAGAAATAAGTGTTGCATCAACAGTAATTTCATTTAATGATTGTATTTCTGGTATATTAAACATATTTAAATATTTAAATGTTATACTAGGTACATTTGCTACTGAGTACTGTACCAAAATAGTCCAAGAAAGAATACAGATAATGGGAAAAAAGTCACTTGACTCAATAAAACAAAGAAGAAAGCTGCTTTGTGCAGAACAAAAAGGTTTTACAGATAAAGTAAATGAAAGTGAAGGTACATCTTATGAAGCAGGAGTTTTTTAGATATTACTTTTTTGTTACTTTTTAAATTAAATTTATGTTAAGGCATTTATTGTATTTTTTAATGTAGTTATTGTGTATTATCTTTTTATGTTCAAGCTTATTTTCATTATTTGAATAATTCTATTTTGGTTAAATCTTTTTCAAATAATAGAGTTTTCACAATTTTCTTTTTTCTGTGTTTTTAATAATGCTTAAAAACACAGAAAAAAGAATGCTAATAAGTCATTTTGTTTTCAATAATTTTTGACCTTTTATATATTAATTTTTTTTTTTTGAAAATCTTTATTATTGTTTTTCTCAATATATGAGTTTTTTGCACGCTGCGATAAATATCTTGAAATTGCTTTGTTTGATTTGATTGTGTTAAAATGAGTATGAGTTGTTTATTATATATATGCACTTCCACTTAAACAAAAGAATTCATGTTAGTTAACTAGTTCTAAAATTAAGGTCTAGGTTTTAAGCCTTTTTGGGGCTTTTTTTTAGGCCTTAAATCAATTTTCTTACGAAAGCTTCAATAGTTTGTTAATTTATTTGATTTGGCAGGGTGAGTGTAATCATCTGATATCGAAAAGCTGTGAAAATTTCATGATCACACCATTATTAGTTTACAGGCTGTTTATGTTTGCAGCATGTAGTCCATATTCAGGATCCATGGATCCAAAATTTTGACATATAAAATTTTTTTTTTTTTCTTTACTGTGCTTTAAATATAAAATACTATTTTTTATATGAAAATCATAAAATATGAGTGTTTTTTTAAAATTTTGATTTTTTTAGTATAGGACCACCTTAACTAAAGTGAAACTTATGTTAAAATGGATAAACTTTGTAAAAGAAATTGAAGTTAGATGCAATTAGTACAACAGTCATCATAGCTTAATTAGGTAACTATCTGTACAAAAGTTAGTTAGATAACTATATGTACAACAGTTGTCATAGGTTTTGGTCAAGAAAAAAGTGTGTTCTCATAACTACATCAAAGTTCACCAGACTTGAACTTTGTACATCTAAGTATTTGATTGACATTATAAAATATAATTTGATTGTAACAATGTTTTTTTTTTTATATCAAGGATAAAAATAACATAGTCACTATAATGCACTTAACAATAAGATTTTTAACACCAAAAGGTTTCATCTTTAAAAAGCTTCTTGGTTTTTAAAGATGAACCTTTTTGGTTTTTTTGTCTGATATATAGTGGATATTTATGATAAATATCCACTTTATATCAGACAAAAATCTGTGTTTTTTAAAAGGGTAGATGTATTTAAAATGATTTAAGCAAACTCGCCCTGTTAAAAAACACTCATTAGCAGTTTGAATTATTATTATAAAGTTTGGCTGTAAATTTGAAAAAACCAAGTCTCATGTTTAACTCAAATCCATTTATTGCACAAAGTATTATTGACTACCAACTTGAAATGAAATCAAATGTATGGCTTTAAATTGTTTGCAAAAGTAAATTTTTTAAATGTATTTCTTAGTAATACATTGAAAAAATCAATTTTAGAGAATTATAGTTATAAAATTATAAACTGATCCAAATTACACTAGTATGGAGTAAAAAGGAACTTTTTTTTTTTAAGGCCTTAGAAGTGCCCTTAAGAAGTTTTTTATATCACCAAATGTCACTAAAAAGTTTTCTTAATTCAATCTCTGCAAGACTACACTTTAATTTAAGAGAAACATGTTGATAGAACTGCAGAGCTTAAAGAGTAAAAGAAATGCAACTAGTCTTGTCCACCCCTGTTTCTTAATAGATTTGTGTTAATAATCATTGCTATTTACTAATTTATAGGATTTTGCTATTATATTGTTTGCAGATTTATAACTTAAAGTTTTAAATTACAATCATTGAAATAAGAAAAAAAATTAAAAAAATAACTAAAAAAGAACATATACCTTCTTTTTTAACTGAGCTGCTAAATAGACTATTTCCCATTTTATTGTATAAACCTTTAATAAATCATATAAGAAACTTACAAAAAGATAAGAAACATTCTCATAACAAGAAAATATCTTTATAAAAAAATATATAAAAATTATATATGCAGGCCCATAGTAAGGTAAAAAAGGCCCATAGTAAGGTGAAAAAAGACCCATAGTAAAGTGAAAAAGGCCCAGTGTAAGGTAAAAAGTAGTTCTAGTTTTAATTGCTTTTAAAATTGCTGCTTTAGTTACTTTTAGAATATGTTGTTTAACTTACTTAGTTTTAGAATATCTTGTTTAACTATTCGATGTACATAACAATCTGTTAAATATGTATTATATATAGTCATATATCAAAAACTTTAATTTTATGTTTAACTTTTCACTGAGATGTTATTTACCAGTATTAAATGCTTATGAAGGATTTCATATTCATGCAAAAAAATTTTTTTTTTTAAAAAAGAGGTACTTTTATACACACTAAATTTCTTGTTGAAAATAAAATATACAAAAAAAATTGGTCTCAGATCACCTTAGTTATAAATAAAATATACAAAAAAAATTGGTCTCAGATCACCTTAGTTATAAATAAAATATACAAAAAAAATTTGGTCTCAGATCAATTATACAAAATTAATTTTGTTTTTTTAAGAAATGCTTTCATACACAAGTACAAAAGCATTTCTTAAAAAAACTTATGTCTATACCATGTCAAAGAGAAATATACACAAAAAATAGATTTTATTTTAAGTGTTTATTGTAAAATTTGGAACCTCCTTTTATTGAGCTGTAAACAAAATAAACTAACTTAAAGCAATGCCTCCTTGATTTACTTATATTACCATAAAATTTAAAATATAGGAAGCTAAAAAGTTTAAGTATTCATATACTCATTTTGAGAAAAACCATGAGCTTTAAAAACCTTACTTACGTTTTAGTAAGACCCCTAGCTCTAACTATAATTGTAATCTAGATTCCTATTTCTAATCATAGCTGTAAATTTAAAAAATTTGTTGAGATTTAACAAATTTCTATTGTAATAAATATTTCGATACTTTTATTTTACATAACAAATGGTTGAAATTTAACAAATGTATAATATAATAAATATTTCAATACTATCATTGTACTGATGATTTGATAATTAAAAAAAAAAAAATGCTCTAATCTGCATTAGATGAAATAGATAAAGTGAGGTTTTTTTTTTCTAGATATAACAAAAACTTGTAATAGTGACTTAACCAAAATCATTCTTCATATGTTCTTAGATTTGTTGTGTCAAATTCAAGTTTTAAAACTTTTAAACATTTCTTCTCCAAGTGCTCTAAATTAGATTTATTTGCTAATGATATGACAATATAATCTAAATATATAATTACATCACTATAAATGTATAATCCAGTCTTGATATAAAACCACAACGTTTTAATTAGCTGGTTGCAGCAGCTTATCATGATTGTCATCTTTAAGTGTACTTTTCTTTGTCTTGCTCTGTTTTTTTTACTCCTATTTCCAAATCAATCCTTTAAAAAGCTTTTACTTATCTTTATATAGAATACTGTTATAATTTTTATGCAGAGACATCTAAATATGTCCTTTCTTGTTCAAAAACATATTAAAAAAGCAGCACATAAACATATTTAAAAAGAAGGCTTGTAACTTGCTTGTAAACTAGAGAAACTTATGTTTCTCTAGAATTCTGTATGTAGTATTTTTCTAGATTAGGCTTAAAAGACATTTCAAAATCTATTCTGTTTTGTTTTGTATGTCATAATCTAAGAAATCTGTGTTCCTTGAATTGAATTCAAAAAAATATTTTGTTACTTTTTTTATAATTTAAAAGTTGATTTTGTATATTTTTATTTAAAAAGAATCAATGCAGTTTAATAGTCAGATTATAAGCCAACACTATAATTTATCAACCAACAGAGAATGATTATACAATAATATTCAATGGATGTCTTTTAATGTATTTAAATTACAAAATTATAATTGTGATCTACTAAACATAAAAAATTAAACAATGGAATCAGTTACTCATAAACAACCTATTAAATATTAAATGCAATAACAAAAACTAATTTTAAATTAAAAGTTGGATAACTATTGTAACTACTTGACTTATAAAATTCATTTTAAAAGTAAAAAATTTTAAAATAAAGGCAATATAATGAATTTCTTTAATATATTTTAAACCTAATAATTAAAATCTTTTACACACAAACAAAAGATCTTTGTCATATTTTAAACAAAGGATTGTTATCAACTTATCAAGATTAGATAAATTAAAAATAAAGAAATATAAATTTCTATTTTAAAGCTGTTTGAGTTATTTTAAATCTGCTTAAGTAAAATTTTGGAACTGTGTCAAGCAAAGATTAAGTAAAGATTATACTAGAAAATAGCAAGCACACATTAACATTCATATCAAATTACTTTGTAATATGATATGAAGATGAATAAATGCTTGTTATTTTTTAGCTGTGTTGAATTTAATATTTCATTTAATAAAAAGAATAATTTAAAAAAAGAAAAAGTGAGATATACAATATTATATAAATGATATGAATGTATTCATACTCAATATGATTACATTTACTGAGTATAAACAAAATAACAAATAGGATGAAAATACATTCATATTCGTTTTTTTACATTACATTTATTATGTCATAATGAATTTGATGATAAGACCAAACTTGTTTACCTGTATTTTTTTTTTATAATAAAAGGTGTAACTTTTCTTTAAAATCAAGTACACGAATAGAGTATGAGTACAGTATAAATACATACTGTTTAATTACAGTATGAATACATACTGTTTAATTACTGTATGAATACATTGGCTTGATGATCAAGCCCATCTGCGCTAAATATCTTTCTCTTTTTTTTTTCTCTTTTTTTTTTGGAAAAGTGATTTACGCTAAACTGTCCTAATAATTTTAATAAATTTAAAAAAATACAAACACAATGACAAAAATTAAAACAAAAAAAAAATAAAATAGTACCTAAATCACTTGGAACATATAACGTTTCAAAATCCGGCTAACAATTCCTTTTAGAATTCAATGGTAGTTGTTTTCAACACATTATTTGACATAAAAAGACTTTACTAACCACTGTGCTTAGTTGTAAAAACAAATAACGAGACTCTCGTGACTTCAGCAAATGTTTACTGTTTATTTTGCAATGTTGACATTTTCAGCGCGAGTGCTCATTTAAATGTAAACGAGTAACGTCAATTTAAAGCCTATAGTCTATTTATCTTTGTACGAGAACGTACGGACTTAAATTGGCCTTTTTTTTAAATTAAATACCACAGGTGCTTGCACCCCAAAAACCACATAAAAGTAGGAGAGCCTAGAACTTTTTTTTTGAGAAAAATTATATTTTTTAAGTTATTACTATTGAAAAATAAGCCTTAATGGGGTTCTTTCTGTTAGGTATGGTTTAATATGTCTCGCTTGTTTTCTTTTGCTTGAATGTTGAAGCTGACTCTTTTTTTCGCTATGCACCCCAAAAACCACATTAACTAATTTAACAATAATTTCTTTACTGTTAAGAATTTTAACTTTTTTAAATTTTAATTTTTTGAAGAAGATTGTTATAATAAATTGCTCTTAGGATGATTGCATGACTGCTAACTTATATTTTATAGAACACTTCAAATGTACTACAAAAACCACATCATATGCACCCCAAAAACCACGTTGGTTTTTTGATGATTATGAAAAAAATTTGAAAAAATTTAATAAAATATTTATATAATATTATTTTTTTATGTAATACATAATATATAATAAATGTTATTAGATTTAAATAAATAAATTTTCCAGTTAAAATTTTGGACATCCTATTCATTGTCTATTACTAATTACTAAACTATATAGATAATATAACCTAAATATAACACAAAAAGTCTGTTCAATAAATTTAAATTGTCCAAGAATAAAATTTGCAACTTATTAGGAATTTCCAAAATTTCATACTACATTTCCTTTTTTAAAAAAACCTCAACAATGCAAAAAATACACGGAAAGCAAAACAAGAATAGTTAACATAACATGACTTTCACTTGTTTTTTTTAACTCGTTCTTCTTAAACTCACTGATTTTTAGTCTGCAAACCAGGTTATGATGCTCTTTAGTGAGCTAAACTTGTCTTCGCAGGCCTGTGTATGTGGGCTATATATGGAAACTAGCCAAATATAGGCCACATACACTGATGACTTTTTGGAGATGATTTTATGATTGATAAAGTAATTTATATCCATTAAACTGGTTCTCTAATGGACCACATAAACTAATGATTAATTTCTTTATTTAATCTAACATTAGCAAAATATTTGAAAAAAGCTATGCACAACAATTTATAGCGGAATTATGTCTCTTCAAACATCAGTATGGATTTTGTAACAAACATTTCACAACTCACGCATCTAATAAAATAACTGAAACTATTAGAAAAGCTCTTTTTGCATGTTAAATTTTTTTTGACTTGGGGAGAACCTTTGATTCTACTGATTGGTCCATCTTCCAAAGTAAATTGGAACACAACGGTTTACGAGTTAATGCTTTCCCATGGTTTTTATCATATCTTTTTAATAAATTGCAATAAAATGCTTTATATGTAAACCCCAAGGTTCAATATTAGGATATTTCCTAATATATTTATAATATATTTCCTTATTTTTATAATATATATTTATAATATTTTATAATATATATTTATAATATAATATATTTCCTTATTTTTATAAGTGATTTTACCATCTCTCTAAAATTTTCAACAGCCGACCATACCAACATACATACTCATACAAACAATAACAAACATACCGATCATACCAACAACATACTCATGAAATACACTACTTACTCATGAAAAAATTCATACACTACTTACTCATGAAAAAATGATACCAACATGATTTATCCAATATACTTTAATGGCTGCGTTCTAACAAACTTAGTTTTAAAACCAACAAAACTAAACCCACCATTTCCAAAAATTAAGTCAATCTAAAGTGTATAAAAACCTAAAACTTAGTCAAAAAATCTTTTCTGTAGTTTTATAAAAGTATATTTGAATCATAATTGACTCAAATCTATTCTTTTCTTCTCATCTTAAAAAATTAGCGGTGGAATTGCGTAAATTAAATGGGATGCTAGCCAAAATTCGTCGCTGTGTCAATCATAAAACTTTACTCAATATATACAATGCAATTTTTTGGTCACATCTCAGTTATGCTTTTTAGGTTTAGGGACAAAAATACGTTTCATGCTTTTTTATGATTATTTAACCAAAAAAACAAGTTCTTTGTGAATTATAGCAGCTTTAGATATTGAATCGTTTTTGTCAGTTTGAAAATTCCGCTCACAATTGTCCTCTTATATTAATATCTTATTGGCTTAAACGTAAGATATTACATTCAAATTTGAATGAAAGTAGTTTAACTTTTAATAGTTTTTTTCATAATAATAAAGTGATTTCTTATTTAACTATTAACTTAAAAAGTTGGGAGCTGAACAAGTCAGGAAAACATGACGATCGGAGAGAGTTCCAAAGGGTTAAAGTGCAGGGGAAAAACTAGACAAATAAAGGTTTTCAGAGCATGCAGAGACAGATACAGTAAAACATGAGACTTCGCTGAATGAGTAGTCAAGCAAGAATGAGTTTTATTTGATGGAACTCAAAATGATAGCTCCTTTAAGCAGCAAATATGATAGTATATGTTTAAAAGAAAAAGAGATCCAACTTTACATGGATAGAAAAGAAGCTTGATTTTAGCATTTTTAGCGAATCCAACAACGTTTACATTGCGTTTTTGGAGATTGTCTATAAGAGAAAGAGCATCATTAGGAAAACCTTGTCTTGAAAAAAAAGAGCATCATAGAAGAATCCGCAGGGTTTAGTTAAAATGTGTCAGAGCCTCAATAATGTTATGATTTCTTACAGTAAAGAAATTTGTTTGCAGCCAAACTGGTGTTGTTGTATCACATCGTTTTATACCAATTTTATTTCAATGATTAGACTGTACCACAAGACAGTGGCGAATACAGAGGGAGGAGGAATTAGGGTGGGTATACATCCCCCCCTGCCGCCAAAGTTTGAAAGTCGTAAAATATCTTAGAAATAGATAAATAACCTAAAAATGTCTTAGAAATAGATAAATAATAAAAACTAGCTGGGGGGACCCGTAAAATACGGGTCTTTACCGAACCGACCATTTTTATACTTATCTATAGCTATCCGGACGTAAACTAAGGGTCTTAGTAAATCTATTCCACACCGACCTTTTCTATACTTATTCCTTACCTCAATATTTTTTTAAAACCGTTTTAAAATGTACATTTAAAAAACTATACTTACTTTTTGATATGACAAAAACATTTCTGTTAAAATGTTCTTTTAAAAACTTCAAACGATTTTAATATTATGCCGATTATAAAAATTTTAATAAGAAAAAACGTAAAAAAGACTACGAACTTAAAACATTCAACACGTGACGCCGTTAAAGTACGCCTTAGTTAACGTTCATAACATATACACATCTAATTAGATTTTATTTAAATTCAGTTGTTGCAAACTTGGTTTAGAATTTTTTAATTACACTTCTTATGCGTCATAAATAATCTTAAATTCTAAATAGAAAATACGTTTATGGGCTAATTGGTAGACGCGCAACACTTAGACAGATATAGTCATCTCACCCCGGGAGTTCATACTCCAGTGACCTTTTTTTTCATCCCAACTTACAACAAAATTAAAAATAAATGTTATTATTGAAACAGTTTTAAACATTTCTTCCTATTTATCTTTGAACTTAACTTTATTCACTGCAAACATACTTTTGGTGTTTGTAAGCGTTATTTTACGTTTAGTATTTGAAGGAATTATTTGCACGCACGTATTTTAAACAATTATTTTTACTGTTTCATCTAAAAATCTTATTTAATTTAGTTTAACAATTTCTTAAATATAATATATATAATATAATTTAAAATATTTTATTAACCCTATTTAAATAAGTATCAAAACTCTTTCCTTTAATTTAAAAAGAATTTAAAATTAACGTCGGCTATAACGATATTTTACCCTTTCATCAACATTTATTTAAAAAGTAAATTTGGGTATAGAAAAACGGGTTAAAGACTTATTATTTTAAATAAGTTAGCTTTATCTATTTAATGCTTCTCGTAAAAGCGTTTCTTTAAAGACTCTTAACAAATCATTCAAGCTGTTTTTACTGCCTAAGTTATTAAACCTGTCGTGTGTGCCAAAAATCGATACTTAATGCAAATGGAAACTTCGAGTGCTAATGGTGATTAAAGCATAAATGGTTCCTATTCATATATAATAAAAGGAAATATAAAAGACAAAGCAAAAATGATTTTTATATGCATTTAAAACAATAAATCCCAAAATAAAAAAATATAGATATTTACTTAAAAACATATTTTTCTTGATATAAAATAAAAATATAACCTTTAGTACAAATTACAAAAAAAAATTTTATTCAACAGAGCTACTTATAATACAATTTAATTTGAATCATTGTTTCATAAATATTAGGCTTTAGGTAAGCCATAATCAAGTCAGCTATAAGAAACGGAACTAAAAATGGAACAAAGTTATTTAAACGCATAATCATACACATTAATTACAAATTAACATGTCATGCAATCAATACTTTTGAAAACTCAAAAATGCGAATAAAAAACTTACTTTTTTATTTTTACATAACCCTGACAGACCAACATGAATGTGAGCTAAATCTATTTGCATAAAACATCACAACAATTTAATTTTCTAAATAAACAAAATGTATGAAAGATTAGTTCATAAATTTATTTACTGTAACATAAACTTCGAAAAAACTGAAGTAAAAAAGAAAAAATAGAAAATGCTAACTTTGATTATTGTTTAAAAAAAATTTGATTTACAGCATGATCAACATGGTTCCCTGCCATTAAACCAGTTAACAATGGCGGATAAAGAGAAAGAGGAGCTAATACAACTTTTCCTGAATGGCAGCACAAAAAATGAGTTTCATTTAAAAACTTCTTTGCACTGCAATACTGACAATTATGGTTTAATTCTCCGAGGTAGTTACTCTCTATAGCAATATTATTTCTTGCTGTGCGATGCATATTATACCTATTAAGTTCTCGCCTAGCCTGATTTCTTTCATTTTGATTACAATTTATTTCAGCTTGCCG